CATGAAATTACTTCCTTGACATATATCAAATACATAAAAGCAAGAAACTGAGGGCATCAATTTCTCGTTAAGAGAAATAGAACAACATCATACTTAAAACCAGACAAAACACATCGTCCAAAAAAGGCAATTGTTATTTGTGCCATTATAATAATACTGTTTGATGGGCTGAAGCACACTGAGAATAAATGACTCTGGTGTTGCCAGTTACACCCATTGGCTTGGCAGCCTGTTGTTTTCTTGGAGTTGTGGGAGGGACCTCGCTTTTCATATTGTCCTGACAAATGAGCCATATCGTGTGGATAACTACTGAGACCCTGTCATAAAACAAAGAGGTACAGAATATTGTGTTTATGCAAACATGACTTGGCACACAACCTGCTTTGATTTTGTTTTTATTTTTATTTTTTAGGTTTTATTTCTGTTTTTGCAGTCACAGTACCACACTCAGACTTTTCAGAGAAACACTCGGGGAAATAAGCTGATTATTATATTCTTGACTGCTTTACTTGGAAATCTGAATGGTCATGGATTCTGTACATTTTCCTTAAGCCAGTGAATAAAGAAGTTAGCTTCAGTTTACACAGAGGTAATGAGTAATGCCTTGCAACCACCTTGTTAAACACTTGGAAGGTTACAAAGTTTGACGTTCTGGTTTCAGAGGGTCACGTCTTCAGTTGTTTGATGATGTAGCCACCTCTCTCCCAAGATACACTGTAGTTTTCATTTTATTACAGTGATATTCCTTTCATACCCACTCCTTTTCCTTTGCACCCTCCCACCAACATCTTTAGAAAAGACTCTTTCTGCATTTTAGGAAGGAAAGGGCAATGAAAATACATAGAAATATTTGGCCAATATGAGAACAAAGTATAATTTAAAAGAAAAGAGATACAAGTCATTCATTTGTTGGGTGAGCCAGGCTCTGTAGTACATGTATTGCAAAGATCATCTCCCTGATAGGGAAAGAGGGACCTTCCACTCAAGGAGATGAAGCAGCTCACCGGAGTACACAAAGCCCAGTAACTGCATGAAAGTGTACATCTCTGGCATCTTTAAAACCTGAGCTCTTTCCTTCCATCTCTGCCATTTATGGGAATAAACAGCAAATGATAGGGTGCAGCTGGGCTCAGGCATGCAGTAAACTTATGTTATATCAAGAGGCGATCACAGCCACTTTTGGGGAATAGGGATCTGTGCTTCCCCAGTCATGACATTTGATATTTCAGTATGGAAATGCTGCATCTCCTGGTTTGTGGTGTCATTGTGTCAGCTCCTTCAAATGAGATAGAGAAGCCTGCATCCACATTTCTTTTACTTATCCTATATGATGGTACATGAAAGTGGGTTTGAAGTTTACCAAGCCAAACAACTCAGTATCATAAAATATAATCTATTATTATATGCAAAGCAAACATTTTTTGTTAGTTTCTTTCAGTTACATTAAACTGTTGTTGGTGATTTTGTGACTGTGATTTTTATTGTCTTTTTAGAGAATATGTATTACTATGTTTTCCGAAATATTTTGTGTATATTTATTAATATGGGTATGGGGTAAGTTTTATTAACAGATATTTATCTTGAAGATCTTCACACATAATTATAAAACTATAACTGGTTGCTGAGAAGAAATTAGTCTTTATTCCTTCTTAGTGAAATTAAATATTTCCTAAATATGTTTTATATACTTTTTTCTTAAAACTTTTGATAATACTACATATGTTAGATGTGAAAAAAGTGACTATAAATATTAAGTCTTACTTGATCAAACCAGTTCATTAGAAAAAGGTGATAAGGATCTTAATTATTATTTGACAGATATTATCAAGTCATTTTCAGTGGGATTTTCCTGCAGAAGCGATGGTAATTATATCAATCATATAAAATTTCATAAAAGCTTCAATGTAGATGCCGGGTAAATTACAATGAGTAGATACTGGGGAAAAAAGTGACATTTAAGGTGTAAAGAATCTTTTAAGATTATGTGCTCATAAAATACATAATATGCGTGCATGTATGTATGTTTTGTTAACTGCTGAAAAGTTAGGAAATGATACTGTATTATAATGAATATTATCATTAGATGATGAAATTATCTCTTATAAACACCAAAATCTAGATTCAGAAGTAGAACTAGAGCTATTTTATAGAGACTTGATACTGATTGATGAGTCTCTGCACTAAAATTTAATCAATTGAACAATTCAAGAAAACTTCAGCTTTGATATGTGTATTTCGTTCTCTAATATCTACTTGACAGTTGTAATCAAAAGGCTAAGAGCACAAAAATATCTTAGTGGATGCTAAAATCTAGTGCTCTGTCTTTTAATAATTGATCCCTAAAGCGACCAGAATGTTACAGGTTGACAGATGGCATCCTAATTCCTTCATTACAAGCTGAAGGAGTGCCTTTAAGGAGCTTAGCTTGGTGTTCCTGGAAGCGAAATATTTTCCGAACAGAGCTTTTCTACATTGGAACTGAGACAAGGACTGGGGCACTTACAGTTAACTTCTGCTCCATGTTTCGTACAGCACTGAGCCCGATGCGTACAGCACCTTGTCATTTTATCCATTTCCATGTACACCCTTTTTGTTAAAGCAGATGGGGACATATCCTGGCAATGCGTCTGTGTTTTAAGAAAAGTGACAGCAGTGTTTTTAATGTCAAAGACAATCCTTCAGAAGTCTGTATGTAGAATGCAAAGTACCCAAATAGTTTTATGCACAAAAGAAAAGAAACAAAATTAATTTCTTCCTTTTGAAATTTAAACAAGTTTAATTTTATTCACTAATTTAGATAGCACCTTAACAAAAAGCTAATGAACTTAATCATAGACGCTAGATAAATTAGACGGATTATTTAAGGCTCTGTTCAAATCTCCCTTTGGTTTACTCTATTCAGTGTCACAAGCTTCTGCCACCCCACTCACAACCCCTTTTCCCTATCCTGACCATTTCTCACCCTTAAAGCTACTATTTTCTAACATTGTGTATAATTTACTTGTTTTATGCATCTTGTGTATTGATTATTTTCTCTGTACTGCTCTACTGTAATTGCCAGAGTACCAGATTTTTAGAAATTTGTATACTGATACATTCCAGGTGTCTAGAAAAATGCCAATTACACAAGCAAAAGAGTGATGAATAAATGTTTATTAAATGAATAAATAAAATGTTTAAGCAATTGGTAGCAACAACACAATCTTAAGAAACTGAAACGTGTTTAATTTAAGTGGGATTACGTATTTGAAATACGTCACTCCTTTGATGAAATGTAATGAGTCCTAGTAAATATTAAATTGTCTGTAATGAACTAAAAGTTAAGCAATTCCAGTGATGGATTTATAAATGTATTAACATGTTTTTCTTACTTTTTGCTGCAGCTGAAGAACAAATATAGGATCATTGAATCACATATAAACATTCATTTCTGTATCCTTGTGATGAATAATAAAATTGGAAAATATTTAGCTAAAAATTAAAGATTTTTAAAAACATCTTAAGGGGGAACAACTTTAAGCATCAGATCTTTGCCTCATCTTAACATATTAGGACATAATTTAAGTTCACTTTATATTCATTTGATTTCCGCAAGTAAATATTCTAAGTACAGCTAGTGAATTATTTATGGGAACTTCGTACAGTTGAATTTCTTTTCATGTAATTTTTTTCTAAAAGTGACAGTACTTCCTTTTATGATGGGTTCTAATTTCAGTCCTGTGAAAATGCACTACATGATCTTAAACAGTAAATTGTCTTACAGGGCATCATTTTATACCCCCCAAATGTGGGGTTTAATATTCATGTTCTCCAAGTTTCCTTCTGCTTCTATGATTGTGTGCATGTGTGTCTTCCACTTCTGTAATCTTATCTCTTCTTACTTTACTATATGTGATTTTGTTTTTATGTTAAAATATTTAGTACTTACAAATATATCTGGATCTACTTTAATTTATCATTTAAACATTTACACAAAAGTGAACATGTTATATTGAAGTGTTGATTGGTTTTAGGATTAGAAAGAATATCTTATACTATTTATTATCTATAAAGATGTTCTATATATGTTACACTATGCTATAAACTAAAGATATTTCATACAGTATATTTTGTTTATAAATATAAGTTTTATATATTAAAGATAGAAAATATTTCTGTTATGTTTTCAACGGAACTATAATTTAAAAAGAAACGTGCTCTCGTATTTATGGGGCTGCACTGAATTAGATATTTTACTTCATGTCATTTCTGAGAGAAGTTAGAATTGCTAAAAAAAAAAAAGACTTGACAAATTTAAAGACAATGTATTGTTAACATCAGCTTAAATGATGGCTTATTTATCTTGTCCCAGATATTAACTCTTGTTCCAAAGCCAACAATAAATATTACATTTTTTTCAAGATATGAAATATAATGCTAAGCAAATTATTGTTTTAATTATTTTGTCTAAAACTTTATTTTGATTTTCTTCAAAACACCAGTCTGTTTCAATGTGAAGTTTACTACTTTTGCATTCCTGAATAAATTAACATACTGAATATATATACATAGAAAGAAGGAACATTTTTCTATAAACTGTTTTATTTCTCAGTTTTAAGCATTGTATTATGTATTTGGTAAATATATTTAAATGTATTTATTGCCCAGCCTAGTTAAGACATCTTGTTTATCAAACCTAGCCACAATATTCTTTATGCATTATTTCTATATTTATTGTGAAATTGGAAGAATTAGCTTTCAAAATCATCCATTATCTGGACCTGAAAACATGTGAAAATTTTGTTAATACAATATTTAATCAGAAGAAATACTTTTAAATGTTATAGACACACATTATAGTTGCTTTTATCTGTAAGAATGTATAAGGCAATTTATAAAATTATATTAGTATCAGAAGTTACAAGGAAATATTTGATAGTTAGTTTTCCCTTAATTCTGTAACTGTTGCTCAAATTCAAATTTGAAGATGCATTTGACTCATCAGTTCTTTTTATTTACAGGAATTTGCAATGTCGTGTTTCTGAATGCCATGCACAAGACCTCCAAATAAGGTATGGAGCATTTTATTTTATATTGAAGTTTACATTTAAGCTTCATGTCAATAGTAACTGAGAGTTGTATCTCATAAAGAAAATCGTAAGTAAATTCTTGGTTTTGGGATCCAACTTAAAACCATCATCCATATATTGGCAATTACCTTGTGATTGTTCTTTTGTTTTTATTGAAAACCCTCTTGCATGGAGATGCCCACCATATGCTGCATTTCTCGGTTGTCAGTTGTTTGTGACAACAGACCAATGTTTAGTTGTCTTAGTGTCTCTGTCATCCAACAAAGCCTTTCTTGATAAATAGCATGAAGCACCTGTGATGCTGCAGTTGATTGACTGAAATGACCTCATGTAGAAACATTTGTCCAAATCCAACAGCCACAAGGACAAAATCATGGGAAGCATGAATTTATTAATGTCAGGGAAAACATAAAATCTAAAAATCTGAGTGTGTAGTGATATTAAGAGACGTTGAGTTCTTTTTTTAAATACATATATATATATTTTCATTCTCAATGTATAATGGTTTGAGTCATTAAAAAACAGCTAATGTTCAATTGAACTTGTGTTTTACCTGAAACTATAAATTAATGGTAGAAATATTGTTTGTTTTTCATATATGCTGGGGGAAAATTTTGTATTTAAGAAGAAAAGCATTTTGATATGCAGATCCATTTACTTGCAGCTCCTTTTCTCTCTGAAGAGACTCTTGTCAGGGTTTCTTGGTTGAGTGCTTGTTAGGAAGAAGGCAGGAGAGAAGGAAGGGCAGAGATGTTAAAATATGAAAAGTAAATGCCAGTCCGCAA